AGTGGACAGCTGAAACTTCAAGAAAGAAGGTCAGACTTAACAATTCAATTTCTTTCTCCAATGCTGGAAATAAGAAGCAATTTGATTTTAACTGTGAAATTTTAGAGCTGTTAGACATTTGTGGTAGAGCAGTTAGTAAAAGAGATGCTTCAAAAGCTAAGCAAGTTTTGAAGGAAGCCAGAGAAAAATTAGAGCATAGAAATAAAATTATTCGTATTGCTGATAGTTCCTCAGCTGGGTGGGGTACATTTAATGAGTATGAGTTGTGTGACTTTGCCTCTGATTCGGATGATGATAGGCGTATCAGAAAAGCAGAGGAAAGGGCTATTAATAAGATTGAAAAACGTAAGAAAGCTGTGTTTTCTGATATTTTCAGCCCTATTGGGCAGTCTTCTTTTCGCAGCTATAGAGGAAATAGCACCCCCTATTCGAGGGGACCAATGGGGCGGCGCTTCATGCAGTTGGGGGAGGTAGTATGCTATAAATGTGGAGAAATTGGACACCTCGCATCAGGTTGTGCCACCGAATACGGAGTCATCGGATCTCGTGGTCATGGAGCATTGGGACCAGTCGCCACACCCTCTTCTCAGTTCAGCCCGCAGCAACAACAACAACAATAACAACAACAATTCATTGTGGACTAAGGCATGCAACAACAACAAACAGCAAATAGAAAGTGATTCTGATAAGTATTGGACTTTTGCTAATAGTAACTTTTTCTCTAGCATTAATTATCATTCTTTTATTGCAAATCAATTTGAAATCTCTTGCTCAATTTCTGACTTATCTGTTAAAGGAAGATTAAAAAGTTTTCTGCAATATTGGACTGATATTATTCAAGTAGATAGAGATATATTGTCTGTTATTGAATATGGTAATGTAATACCTGTTGAAATTTCAACGTGCAAATGATGCCAAATCATTTCTTGAATTCTGGAGAAACATATTAAGTTCTCCTTTTCAGAAATCTTTATTTAAAGATTATGTACCGGAAGTGTTCATAATTATATGCTGATGAGTCAGCGGTGGCTGGTGCTGCATATATTGACTATGATGGTTCTGTGGTCAGATTATGAACGTTGTCAGAGTTCGACGTATAAGGGAACTGTTAGCAATTCAATTTTGTCTGGATAGTTTTATTTCAAAATTTTAAAGGTAAAACAGTTCAATGACATACATATAGCAAGAACTGCGTAAGCACAATAGAAAAAGGTAGCAGAGATTTAGTGTTGCATAATTTCGCATTTAAAATATTTATGTCATGTGCAGAAAATGATCTTTAAATGTTATTTGGATTAACAGGTCGCTGAATAAGACGGCAGATAGTTTAAGTTGCATAATTGTGTAATTATTAACACAAGTGATAGACTTTGGCAAAGACATGGTAGATGGAAGTGTGCGACTGCTAAAGATGGTATTGTGAATGATTCATCGAAAACACATTTTCTGTATCTTTAAATTTAGATTTATAATACATGATTGTATTGAAATTTGATGATTTAAAACATTCATAGTGCAAATCTTATTAAATAATAATAATCAATTTATTTTAATTTGTTTTATACAAAAATAATACATCACTTTTTATTTTGAGATAAAGCCCTACTTTTTTTTATCTTTTATATGCAATTATACTGCAAGCTTGCAACTGTGGAGACGATAATAGTCAGGGTTCGAACATAGACTCTTACTTTAGAATTTGTGATTACATGCTAACAGTTATTTATGTTATTATTTCTGATTAAGTTTCTATAATGTACACTACTAGAAATTAAGCAATTACATATTTTTAAGAGATATTTGCTATTAAATATATTCAGATGAATATTTTATTACGTTTAAGAGTCTTGTTAATTTATCTAGAAAACTGTTAAAATGAAATCACAAACTTCTAAAAAAAACAAAAAAAAAAAACAACAAAAAAACACACAACAGGATAAGGCCAGGGTGTTACATTCAAAGGACAGCATATCTGAATGTAGTCAGAATAACTAAAATATTTGTCAAGATTACTTTTGTAGACTTTTGGTCAGGATGACTGTTGTATAGGCCAGGATGGCTGAATTTAGTCAGGATGACCGTTGTATAGGCCAGGATGACCGTTGTATAGGCCAGGATGGCTGAATGTTTTTGTTTGGTCAGGATGACCGTTGTATATGCCAGGATGGCTGAATTTGGTCAGGATGACCGTTGTATAGGCCAGGATGGCTGAATGTTTTTGTTTGGTCAGGATGACCGTTGTATATGCCAGGATGGCTGAATTTGGTCAGGATGACCGTTGTATAGGCCAGGATGGCTGAATGTTTTTGTTTGGTCAGGATGACCTTTGTATAGGCCAGGATGGCTGAATGTTTTTGTTTGGTCAGGATGACCGTTGTATATGCCAGGATGGCTGAATTTGGTCAGGAGGACCGTTGTATAGGCCAGGATGGCTGAATGTTTTTGTTAGGTCAGGATGACCGTTGTAAATAGGAACATGGATTGCTGAATTTGGGTTAGAATGACTTGTGTGTATGGGGCCAAGATGACAGAATCTAAGTCAAGATGACTGCTGTTAAAGCCATGATGATTGATTTTGGTGGATGATTGGATCTGGTCAAGGTGATTAAAGTTAAGACAAAGAATTTTCATTAAGGCGAGTATAGTTTTTATTCTGTTTTTCTTTTGTTGGTGTTTAAATTAATGTAGTTATAAATTTTTGAAATTTTTAGATTTAATAGTTGTAATGTATTGTGATTTTCTTCAATAGTGTTTTCTTTATGGAGCTGTTTTTCTATATTTTTTCTCTCTCTTTGTTTGATCGATAATTCTGTCAAATACAACGACCTAAACCTATAATGTTTGTTGTTGTTTTTGTTGTTTAGAAGTATTTGAGAATAGAAAATAATTGATTTACTCACGGTTTAGTGAGTAAATTTACTCAAGAGAAAACCAGATTAAAATGTATTTCATTTTTTTGCCTTAAATCTATCGCTGGGTTTCTGTGTTTTTAACAATGTTACCGCTATTATGTATATACATATATCATGGTTCGTTTTTATTTTTCTGCTCTCAGAATATAAATGTAAAAATGCTTGTTCCGTTCACTATTTGACAATTCTTATTTTATTAGTGAAATGAAACAATTTCTTTTATCATTGTGTATGCTAAAGAATAAAAAATGAACCTTATTTGATTCTTATTCTGCCGGATGTTTGTTTTAATGTAACTGAATTTAGATTGTGAAGTAAAAAAGTTTATCGCTGTTAGCGCCCATTCTGGTCAAGTGCTGTGCGGTATATTAATATCCATTTGTGATTCGCAAACATTTCATTTTTAAAAAGACTTGTAACAACATAGTTTCACCAATTCAAATATCCAACATTACACAGACACACATATTCTAATAATATACTATTTTATTTCATGCTTTATCACCAACATGAGTACGTACGTGAATACATTTGTATATTTAAACATGGATTGTTTCGTTTTATAGGTAGCTGACGGGACAAACTGTAGAAAATAGCCTTCTGTATACAAAATGAGATAATTATATAGCGAATCAAGACCTATATAATTATCTCACTTTGTATACATCTGTAGAACTCCTCCTTCACGATGGCTCTATCATACTTAGGTGATCTGTTTAGATGAGATCCCTCGACGAATCCGCTGTAGATCCTTTGACCAAAACAAGACTCAAATGATAAACACCTTTTCCAAAAAAGAATATGCTAGTTTTTAAAATATCAAAAAATGCTTTGCCACATAGAACATTTTTCTCATCATTTAAAATTCAATTTCGATACGAATGCCCCAAAATGACGATGCTAGAACTTTTACAAGATATTCACTCGTGTACTTTTTTTCGTGGAGATACATCTTTAGTAATGTCCCTACCATGAAATTAATGCTGCAAAATTTGCTATTCAATTATCCTATACTCTCCTCAATACATTCCTTACAACAAAAACTCTAAAACAGATTAAGAGTTATATTCACCGCAAAATTATGTGACTATCAAAGGGGCATAATTCTTTATTAAAATAAAAGTCTAGAACAATGTTTTTACACTCACTCATTTCACTGTGTTTTATCACTGTGAGCAGTTAAACAATATCGTTTGCCTAGCATGAATGATGTGTTCTGGCCAAATTATGACAGGAATGAAAGGGCATAGCTGTGAAAGTTCAAAGAATGAACATACCCGTATTATGTGGTAAAGTCCCTGGTCAAGTTTTAATATTGTTGAAATATTTTACTGACAAAATCGACAATTATAATACAATACCTTTTTCCAGTATCACTTATAAAAACCAGGGCTCTGGTCTCTGGGCAGTGAATTTTATAACGGACAGGTTGTAAAGGCGGAAATATCGGACGGACGGACGCCCTCTATCATAATGGATTTGGAGAGAACTCATTTGTCATTCGACGGCTACTTATTCTATTGCTGCAGAAAGAATTGAACGGAACGCTTTACTGTTAAATTGCCGAAACCTTATCTAGTTATTCGGACGGACTGACAAACGGCGAACATATGCATCCCAGTTTAGGAGAATAGAAATACTGGAAAAAAGTGTTTAAGCATATATTATTATGTTTAGGCATATACGTGACGAATACTGTTGTCACAAAACTCAAATAAAATGTACTTGCATTTCAGTAAACAAAGTAAACATATAACTCTAACTAAACTATAGACGGTAATATTGCATTATTGATTAATCTCCATTCGTCGAGACACTAATCGATAACCTAGATTTTTTATCTTTTGATATCACAGTTCACGAAAATATATACAAGATATTTAGTCTACCACGAGTAACAAAAATGTAGTGTAAATAAATTTATCTTTATAACGATAGTTTAGTTGTTTTTAAAATTAAGAAATGAGTGTACAGACAAAGAGGAGCAACGTTAGTGCATAGCAAAACAAAAACTATATACTCTATTATTGCGGACTTAAACGTGCATAAACAGGTTTGTGTCGGAAAGGGCTATTTTTTATTATTGGAATGGATGTTCCGGGACGTAAAAGATCTTCAGATGCTATTTTATTTTGCCAGCCATGCAAGGGTGACGATGATACGATACAGGCAGAAGGTTATTGTGAGGATTGTAATGAGTTTATATGTTCATCCTGTATCAAAGCACACCGGAAGTTGGCCGTGACAAAATTTTATGTAATCAAATTCAAAGGTGAAATGCCCAGTTTTCTTCCTGCTCGAAATGATGCATGCACGGAACTCTGTGATTACCATAAGAACGAAATAGTAAAGTTTTACTGCAACGAACACAATAGTGTTGGATGTAGAGATTGTATGGTTCTTAAACATACTTCCTGCAAGATTCAACTCGTTCCAGACGTCTCCAGAAAATGTAATGTCAGTGACGAACTTGTTTATACCAAGTATAGAATTGATCATCTGAAGAAAAGTCTGGCGTCATGTAAAGAAGAAATCAAATGCAGTCTTCAAACAGCAGACGAAATAAAAGCAATAGCCATTAAGGACATTAAACAATTCCGTAAAGATATGGACACCTATCTTGACAATGTAGAAGAAACTCTTATGCAGGAAGTTGAAATGGTTAATGATTGTGATGTTCGTACACAGAAGAAACTTCATGATCAATGCGATGAAATAAATGATGAAATTGTCATATTACAGAGTAAACTAGAACAGTGTAAAGACAATATTAATAACTTGTTTGTTACATCTAAACTTGTGCAGGAAAAACTGCAGAAATGTCACGAAATAAATAAGGATATTTCATCTAAAAGTCAAACCCACACTTTCAAATTCACTCCTTCTGAAGAAATGAACGCTTTGAAAATAGATAACAAAATCATAGGCCATCTTGATAAGCAATTAAAGAAATACCCAGGAAAATGCAGGGAGAGTATCATTGGCATTAAAGCTCATTTGTCGCAGAAGTTCGATATTAAGACGAAACAGGAAATGGACTGTTACATAAGGAGTATGACAATCATATCTGAAACTGAAATTCTGTGTGCAGATCAAATCAACAGATCATTAAAAGTCTTTAATTATGCACAGGGTAAAATCACATCAACCTTAGAAACAGCCAGTCCCCCAGCAGACGTTACGACAATTAATTCCAACTGTGCTGCAACAACTTTACTAAATGAGGACAAAATCTTGTTTCTTGATACGCAAAACGGATTGTCTGTTAGTCGAAAACTTAAAGTCAGGGAAGGGTGCTTGGGAATCGATCATCACAATGGTACACTGGCTGTATCATTCTATGATCCTCCTGCTATTCAGGTATTAGACATGAAAGGACATATTCTTCATCAAGTCATTGATACTACCGTACTAAAGTATCCAAGATATGTTTCTCTGAGTAATAATAAGGTGTGAATGTACGTCTCTGACTGGGAGAACGAAGCTGTGTATGAATTTACACTTGAAGGACATCTAACAAAAACAATAAAAAATGAGGAGATGGGACGGCCAGCTGGCATGACAGTCGCCGACGGCGATTATGTCGTTGTTTGTTATCTAAACAAGAGCGACAAGGTCGGTGTCATTGTACCTAGAACAAGAGAAAGGCAATATATCTACTTGCAAGATGTAGGGAGGCCAGTGTCCATCCTCATTGTAGAAGGCAAAGGAAAATTGTTTATTAGTGAACGTTTTGATTCAGAAAATTGCAGTGTCATTAAAATGCTTGACTTTAAAAAAAACTTGATACTCACAAACTGATATTTATAATTACCTATAATGCAGCCGAAAGATGACTGAATATCACCCAACTGTCCTGTTTAACAAAAAGGGATATAAAATTGTAGTTTTTTTACTCATGGCATGAATAACTATGAAGCAATCCAAGCATTCGCAACCAACATAAATAATAATTATTATGTAGTTCGAAAGCTGTGCAAGACTGCATTTCAATGAGCATTGTTTACTTGGTTTTTATTCAATGGCTATTTGCATGTCACATGTTTGCATGTTGAAAGACTGGGTTTTAGTGTGATATTTATTATTAGATGTCACACTCAGTTAAAGGCCCATTGTGCCTCAGAAATGCTATATTTTTTATTCTCAAAAACATTTTATTTTTGTATCGTAATACAGCTTCAAAAATATCCATTTGCCATATACATGTAGATGCATTATCTTTGCTCCTTTTGCTTTTTGGCAATTGATATGATTATGGTGAATAAGTATTTTGTATAGAATTAAAAATACTACTTTATTATATATTGCTTCCTTTACGACACATAATGGCATATTCAGCTGTACTTTCCTCAGCTGTTAAACATCTAACATACCATGAATCTATAATCAAAATATTTTTGACATTTCTATAGAATTAAATAACTATGGATTTCCCCAGGCATAATGTGCCTTTAATATTATCATCAAACATCATAATTATATCAAATTTAATTATGCACAGTTAGTATGGAAATATGGCCATTCTTAATACAAACTACTTGTCGTGAATATAGATCAAACAATTATGTTGCAAGTGCTATGGTGTTGAGTAATGTTGTGTTGAGTAATATTTCTGCATAAAAATAGTCGCTCTCAGCAGGGACATGTTATTTCTAGTTTAAGTTGAATTAAAGTCTAATCTGATCTATCCCATTTTGTTCTAGGGTATGGAAATTATGTATTTTTTTATACACCAGGATGTACATTGCCTTATAATTCACGAGACTATGTAATTGTAAATATTGTTTTGCTAGATTAAAGCTGAACTTCAAATATCTGATCAAAATAACGTTTTCCGTTATCAGTAAAGTAATTTATTATTTTAAAGTTGTTTTGAGATCATTTTAATAATTGTTGTGAAGTTTGAGGTGCGCGTTCACAAATGTTAATACAGATACAAAACAAATTTGTGACAGATCGGTTGGTCTATTTAAATCACAATAGTGCTAAATAGTTATATCTGTAATTTCAATATACTTTAATATAAATTACAACTTAACATATCAAATTTCAATAGCTTAATTAATTAATCGTTTTATTTAAATGACCGAATATCAAGATAAGGGAAATAATCAGTCCTATACAATAACACAAAATTATAGTGATATAACCACTTTTTAAAAATACTGTATACCTATCTTGTATGTGACCATGTACACCTGAAATATGATAAACAAGATCAACAAGGAAAGGCGGCGTTCATTGAACGCAACCCCAATATATAATAAGACACATACATGTATATATTCGCTCCTCTAATAACCTTTAAGTTGAGAAATAAACTACAACCTTTTGTGATATAATAATGGTACTTTACACTAGGGAGATTCCGATTATTAAACCGACAAGCACAAATTATTATAACTTTCTGTGTTAACTTATTGTAAAATATAGGAATGTGTAATTCTTTTACATGTATTTATCTTCTATACACTGCTGTGTGATTGTTGTTATGGCTGTTATTGTTTTTTCCAATTAAAAAGTTTAACAAAATGACAGTATTTTAATAATTAATAATATTACGCAACCCTGAACATCCTAATCATCTCGGTGCATTCTATATATATTATTATTTTGTTATTTTGTGTCTTTAAACAAGGATTTTAACCAAGTACCCGTATGTTGTCCTCGTACGTTCACTTTAATAAAATTGCTCCACCATTTTTTGAAAGAAAACGAAAGTAATGCAAGCGTTTTATTTTATGCTTTTCAGTGGATTACTGATTTATCCGTGAAAATTATATTTGATAATTTCACAGTGAAAATTTCACACTTTTCAATGACGAAAATACTATTTTAAGATTTTCCCCATGTTGTATCTCAATATTATTTTGTCGCTATCGACAACGCAACGCGCAATGTCCCAAATCAGCCACCATAGTTGCCCTGCTCCCTCGTACAAATCACCTCGTGTTTCGATGCCCTTTCTATTATGTATTGAGTATTTTTTTAGAATATACGCAGTTTATATACCAGCAGAAGAAATCGTTGCGATGCGGACATTTTGCGACGTTGCTCAGTGGGCGAGGACCCCGGAAAATAATGTACGAATAATACGTGTTGTGTATTTTCTAAATAAACAATCTGCGTTGACTATATAGCTTATGCAATTCGAGCTTTTAAATACCGTACAAGGAAACATCAAGCCATTATTCTGGCCAATCTGCAACGAAATCGGAACCATGGGTATCTCAGTGTAGGTTCTGAAATTTGTCAGCACACGAAACCGTCATGAAGACTTAAACGCCTGTGTCTCGCTGAAATTGAAATCGCAACCTCTTGGCCCATTTCGTCAAACTTTGATTAAGACATTGAACACATTAGTATGAGTACGATATTACAGTCTAGCATACGCTAAAATTTACACAATGTTATCAAATAGTTAACAAATGATAACCTTATTTCATAACGTTGTGTAAATACAAAAGACGATTTAACAAAAGAAATTTTTTGAAATTTACATGCAAAAAATGCAGATGCTATATGCTAATTTTTATGCATTCAAAATATATTCGTGTTAACTATCATTGTACATGTATACCAGTGTGTTTTAAAAAAAACTTATTTGCAGCTTTTTTGTTTCAATCATAGTACATGTACAACCGGAATATAATCAATAATTTATTGGCAAATTGTGTGAATAGATGTGTTACCATTAAATGTCAGATTTCAATAAATTTTCGCGGCCATTTTTCTTACAGGAGCGCTGTCGTTAACGGGGGACTCATGTGGCCAATCCGAAAAACGGATCAGTTTGTAAGCTATGGTTCACTCCGGAAAATGGTCATTTGTTGGGAAGTTCGTCTTATTTATTACAGAAAGTATTAATCAAAGAATGTCTCTTTACCTGATATTATTCTGTATATGTTAACAGTGAATAGGGGTTTATCTTAATTTGGCAAATAACAACGAAATTAAAAACAATCCTAGGAAAGGAAATAACACGGCACGGGAATATGTTTAGATACCGGACAATAACACGAGTTCACAATGGATAATCACAATCTGACTAAAGTAAGCAGCTTCCATGTAGATCTGATGACGGCCGTATATGTTTCGCCTTCATTATAAATCGGATTTCCTGAGAAAGGCTATTTTTATCCATGCAATCAGATAGGCATTTAAAGAAGTATCTAAATACCGTTACCCGTGGAAGTTTAATAAATTGTTGATTATTGCTAGAAAAAAAGTCTTTGGTGTTATTTAAAAAAAAAAAAAAAAAAATGAAGTTAATTTTTAGTTGCCAGTTTACCTGTCCGCCAGCTACCACAGGTGCTAGTGGCATTGATTTGACCTAATTAAAATGTGTTTGACCTTGTTAAAAAAAGACCTAAAATGTGTTTGACTTTGTTATTTATACAATAAAATATCAATATATTAAAAAAAAAAAATTAAAATTTTTTTTTTCACTGTTATATTATTATTGACAAGGTATGCAACATTCAGGTACGAAAATTATGGGTACGCCGGTTATCAGTGTTAAAAATTTTTATTGGGCGGTAATATCGTCCGATTTTTGCATGGAATCAATGGACAATATATTTTTCTATTACAATTTACTATTTACAGATCCCCAATTAACCGCTAGTTAATGTTATAAAGCCCGAAAGTAAGAAATCACCCAGGTCCGAAAGATGAGACCGCCATGACATGTACGTTGTAACTGGCATTTTCGCTTGAAATGCATAAATAAAGAGACCAACAGGGTCTAACACACATGCAAACAACTGGATTCTACTTACTTTTTAATGTTCTTATGCTCGATAAATGAAACTCGGTCTAATGAGCCTGTATTTCAATAAATATTCTGCTACTAGGCAATGTTTTCTTCAAAATTATTATGACCCGGAAGTGTTCGTCCGACAACAGGTGCGTGGTTCCCCGTTTCGCTTGATGCTAGTGCGTGGTAAACGGAAGCCAGTAGAATGTTCGTCATATTACACTTTGTTTACATCGGGCACTGTATTACAATTGGCGGAAAAATTGTTAATATTTATATTAAACGTACAAAATGAAATTTGGTTACATGGTAATTGAAAGATTTTTTATAAACATTCATTGCATGTGTAAACAGAACCCTTGTTTTTGTACTTTTTCCATTTTAGGTGATGTTTTAAACCTGCACAACCGCGATGCAGCCATTCGGAACAATTATCACACTGTATCCATTCAATTTCTTTATCAGCTGTAAAGCACTTTTTGCAAAGAATATTGTCATCGTTATCATCCGAATCCGATAAAGTCTGATTATGTGATGTTGATGGAGCTGGCTCACTACTGGTGGAAGGTTCATTTTCAAGAACAGAAACTACACGGGATGGTGCCTCTAAGTCTAAGAGTTGATCAGAGGATTCAACATCAGTTGTTTTTCGTTTTTTGATTCTGCTTTTTTTATCATTGCCTTTTTTACTGTCTTTTGTTTCATCAACTACAGATTTTTTAGAATCCTTTTTACTGGATACCCTTATTTGCTTTCTATGTGCCATTTTTTTTATCAATATTATACAAATCTATCATATCTTTCCGAAACTGTGCAATCATGATTAAGAGGAAAGATTTCACAATTTTTTCAAAAATTGTCCTAATATCATTTTCTGACACTTTGAAAGGAGTACTTGATACATTGTCTAAATTTGACTGATTCAGAACTACAGTTGAAAAGGATTGCAGTAACTCCTTATTATTTATTATTTCTTGTTTAGAGTTTTCAAAAAAATCTTTTTTATACTTGTTGAATTTTTCAGTGGTCATGATTGATAAAACAGTTTGAGACAAACAAATAAAGAACTTAAACAGTTCATCAGAAATATTTGTTAATCCTCTATTGACATTCTGTTTCCTAGTAATATCATATAGTGATTCAGGTTCACTGCTGTTTGCCAGTATGTACTGTTCATCCACTTGCATCTGGTTCAATATTTCAGTAGCAATCAAACACTCTTCATAAAGTTGCTGATCTTCAGGTTTTTTAGAATATCTCACAGTATTTTTTTTCTTTATGTACTTAAATCTTAATTTTGCTATGCAGTAACCACCTACATACCTTATTCTAGTACGAGAAGCATCTGTTACTGTCCTTTGTACTACATGTACCCGCTTTGTTGTGAAGTATAGTTTTCAGACGACTGCTTCAAAATGAACTTTCTGATTTCTACTGATGAAAAAAACATATATGCTTGTGTTCATCCATGAAACTTTCATTTTCAAATAATTGCATACAGCTTAATAGAAATTCAGCACTTGTGTGATGTTTATGAACTGAAGTGTAAAAGTCACCCAAATCTGCACACTTAACTGGACCAGTAAAATTCATTTTTACATTAAGATCTTTCAAAAAATTATATTCTCTGCAGCAGAAATCCTTGTATTTCTGTTTGTTTAAAGAGGTTATAATAGTGTTCACATTATCTTGAAATGGGGTGAGAACTTCATCTGTTTTCATATCTTGGATTATTTGGTCCAAGTTAAGGTCTTGCGGAAGATTACTGTCAGCATTAAATTCATCTATTTCATTAATAAGTTGTTCAAATTCACTGTCAAACTGGTCCTCACACTGAGCATCTATATCAATATCAAAAGGGATCACTGGTTTGTCACTTACTGAGATAAACCCAAACACCTCTGTTTTCCTGAAATATAAATAAATATATTTTAAATCTTCATTTTCAAAAATCCCTCTGTCTCTTTCACTTATTCTAATATGCTTTTAGAGGATTATAATTCCAGACCCTTATATTTGTTCAATATAAGTATTTTGTTTACTATGGAAAATCAATTGTTGCTGTGGAAGTCATTTGTTGCTTTGGAAAGTCAATTGTTACAAAAAAGTCATTGAGTGCTCCGGCATGTCAAATTTGTTGCTTAGGGGAGTCAGTGGTGGTAAAGGAAAAAAAAAATTGCTTAGTATGGAAAGTGGACATCCATGCTTATGGAAGACAATGCTTGCTTTGATACCTTTGATTGCTATGACATAAGATTCTTATCTTAACAATACTATGCTCACCCATTATATAAATATTTTAATAACAGAAATCTATCGAAATCTATGACATTTTTACTGAATATGTCTTATAAAAAGGTTAAAAGAACTATGTATATGCATGATTAAGCTATGTTTCCCTATGACAGGTCAAGTTGGACCTTCCTTAAAAAAACTGCTATTAAATGTTGTTAATGACACTATTATATTAATATTGTGACCTATAATGTGTAGAATTTTAAACATAATACAATAATCTACTTTCTGTGAAGTCAAAACAAGTTTATTCTATATTTACAAAGAAACTGTGTAGCAACTATCAATATTTTGCAATATCAAAGATTTTTAAAAGGATACATAGGCATATTATATTAACTTTATTTACTCAAATCACAATAATAATGAAAGTTTACAACTTCCAGCATATTTGTCTATATAAATGATTTATAACAAAATGGAATCTAAATTAAATTATATAAAAAGTTAACAGAATCACCAAATTATGTTTAAAGACACACTATGCCTCAGAAATATACATTTTTTAATATTCTTTGGAAACATGTCAAACATGTGTTTAATAATGTTTAAATAATGGATTATGGGCATGTTAGACGTTTAACAAGAGGAAAAGTTAACGCTGAACATGCAATTACGTCTTGTAAAATAGTAAGTGTTGTAAACCTCCACTTATTTCTTCATAAGGATAAAATCTTCGCACATATAACTGATAGTGTGTTCATTTCTAAAACATTAATAGAATATTGAATTAAAAATTCTGAATGAAGCGATATGATTTTGCCTGTGTATTCTTTTAAAAATAGGTATTTTGCCTTAAATACAAAACATTTCTATACAAAATAGTACAACTTTAGTAGTGGCTAAAAAATGTAAAAGAAGGAAAAAAAATGTTGAGATGTTACAGAGTCCCAATATTGAACAGATTTTGAGAAATATAAACATTTACATTTTGGGACTTAATGTGCCTTTAACCCATTTGAAATCCTCATTTTTTTGTTTCAGGCTGTTGTCCAGAGTTGTTGAATCCTGTGATTCAAAGACAGACCAGCAAGTGCTATATAATGCTTTTCAGTTTGAAACACTTGAGGGAGGCTATAAGATGAATATTGGAAAAAAGTTGTTCTCTGCCCATATTTCAGCCTTATTCCCAAATGTTGTCAAAATCCGTCGAAAAACAAAGCAGACGACAGAGACGGTCTTCAATGGTATAAAGCTACAGACAACTAGCTATGACGCAGCTGAAACTTTCCATTTTCAAAACTTAAAAGATCACCTGCCACTGGAATCTGTCACCATTGAGTCAGAGACTGAAACATCTCTAACTTGTAAAAACAACGACCTTGATTATGAAGTAAATGGCTGTAAAATATTCAAACTAATTACTTTTCATAAAGATGGTACATGGAAATTAAATGTAGCTGGAAAGAATGTGAATTTAGATGCAGTTTGTGTGTCTGACACATATGAACTATCTGCAAATAGCATAAATAATGTGTGCAAAGTGGCAAGTCTTTTACCTCTATGTTATGCTTTTCCCCTGACAAAATCTGTGATTGTAAGCCGTTACCATACAGTTGAAAATCTAAAAGTATGGGATAACCTGCACAGAAAAATCAGGTCAATACTTTGTGATCGGATTGTGCCTTTAAATTCTACAGAAAAAATGTGTCACAAATGTAAATACATGAAAGTTAATGCTCCAGATTTAAACAAAGTGAAAGCCAATGATACTGAAAATCAAGTTCTAAAACAAAGAAACATCATTGAAGCAAACAAAGAAAATAGTTCAAAACCAATAAGAGCAACAAAGGAAAGCATAATCAACATGTTTCCTGGTGCAAGCAAGGAAATTATTGACATACTTTTAAATCAGGCTAATAATTGTGAACGAGACCCTCGAGGAAGAAGGTGGAGCTCAGGTGTAATATCTGCTTGCCTTAAGTGGTTTATGAGGAGCCCACAGTCTTATCAGGACTTCATGGATAGCAAACTTCTACTGTTACCCTCACCCTTATTGTTAATTTTATATAAAAATAGAATTCAAAATAATGTTGGTTTTGACAATGACATATTCAAATGGATGCACCTCGAGGCTAAACGTAGAGCACTACCAATTGAGGGCTGGTCAGGAGGTATCATTTTGGACGAAATGTCAATTCAGACAGATCTTCAAATTAACAAAAATGGTGATGTTGTGGAACTTTCTGGGCTTATGGAAATGGGTTCTGAAGGTAATACCTGCCATATACTAAGAACTGGCAAGGCAGATAACATTCTAGGTACCCATGCTCTCCAACTAGTTTTTTCAGGCATAACAGGTTTTAGATTCCCATTTGCCTATTTTATAACAGATGGGATTCAAGCTCCAGAACTGTATTCACTATTTTGGGAAGCAGTTGATAAACTTCAAACATTTGGCTTCAAGGCAATATACACTTGTATGGATGGAGCTCAATGCAATAGATCTTTTTTGAAATACAATGTTTCAAATTTAACAACATATTCCAGTCAAAATCCATGTAATTTAGACTCGATGATATTCATGATGGATGTGTCCCATGTACTTAAGAAAATTCGGAACAACATGTTAAAAAGTGGTATCCTCAAATCCTCTACACGTCTACTTAAATTCACCTCTGATAAAACTGTTCAATGGCAAATGTTCATTGACTGCTTTCAATGGGACAGGTCAAATGCTTTACAACTGCATCAAAAAATAACAAATGAACACTTATTTCCTTCAACTCAGTCCAAAATGAGAAATCATTTGGCTGAAGAGGTTTTAAACAGTGATATGCTGCATGTCATTAAACAATACAAGCTTTATCTTGGCCCTAAAAGAAGTGATCTTGATGGAGCAATAGAACTACTCGAAAAAACTTCAAAATTGATAGAAATTTTCAGAAGTTTTAAGCCTGTGCGTTCATTGGATGATGAAAGACTTAAACAGCTACATGAAATTGACGAGTGGTTCAAAACCTGGGAACTTTCAGTGTCTGGTAGCAAAGGATCCAACAAATCATTGCTTTCATTTCAATGCCATGAGGATATTCATGCATGTATTATTGGATTTATTAGTTTGTGCAATAATTTTTTTTACAAGAAATGTTCTATTTACATTACGCCTGGATTGATTAATTCTGATGTGATTGAAAATACTTTTAACCAAATGCGGTCTACCTATAATGGAGAAAACAGCAATCCCAATGCATTACAGTATGGAAGAACATTAAATAGCATAATCTTAGGTCAAAAGACAATATCTCAAAAAGGCAATACAGATAAATTTAGAGATGGGACCATGCTATACGAGTCAGCTATTAAAAAGCCACTGAAACGTCGAGCTTCATCGACTGTCAATGAAAGACCTCCAATAAAAGTCATCAGGTGCTAAGGTCAGTATAAATTTACCTTAATGTTTCTTGACAACAACTTAGATCCTCAGAAAATGTCTGTGATGGTTGGTTGATAAAATCCTTTACAATGTCAGGTTGTGGCATGCATGCCCGTTGGGTGAAATTTGTAACTCTTAGTCCACAGAAATCTCTAGCCCTGCTCATAGCCACTCCAAGATGACCAGGCTTGAATATACCCCTGCAATCCACTTCAACCCTGAATGATAAAAGTGAACTTTATGGTTAGTTATGAAAACTAAATTAACCAAGTCATTTATTTCTTTTGCAGAAGACACATAACACCACTTTTCTTGCAAACATACTTTGTATGAAAATAAATTAAGAATGTTTAAACTTTTAACCATATCTTGTGTGCATACACTTAGCAATATATACAAAGGAATTATTCAAAATGCATAAATAACAATATCAATCTAAATTTTACTTTAAATTATAACTATTCTGTTACATGTCAAGCGTCATTCCCTGTGCTTTGTGAATTGTTATGGCAAAAGCCAACTTTAATGGCAGTTGTTCCCTCACAGCAATGTCTTTATTATCTCTAAGGCTGAACACTGAAAAATATCAGGAATATATAGTTCTATACCTATAAATGTTAAATCTCAATTGCAATGCTTATTATAATGAAACATCTGTATCTTTATATCAAATTTGACCAAAATTTATTCACAATTTTTAAACATACATCATAACATGTTTTATATACTGTATTTGTTTTCTTGTTGTTGTTTTGGGTTTTTTACAGAAAAAAATGTGTGACTTAAAATGTGTGCTAGTATACTACATGTCAAAAATTTATACTATCATTCAATTACCTGTGAATTGAATTTTTTTCATTGGAGCTTGTATTCCAACTGAATGAAAATCCACCACTGGTCCATCTTCTGAAATGCTGATAACATCTCCTCTAATGCCATTTACAAGCTTATTTGATAGATTTCTTAGTAATATTACAGCACCCACTTTCAGCCACAACTTATGTGGTGCTAGAACATGATTTAAACACGTTATTTTACCTTTGTCCTCTGATATGTACTCATATACTGGACCTTCCATTTTCAATAACTTATCTCGGTTAAAGTCATCAACAATATCATTTGTTGCAACAATTTAAGGCTTTCCTGATTACTGTTTACAAGGGGCCTGTTGAGGGATTTAATGAATTGGACCGAGTCATGGGAAAGTGCACCTGCAGAAACTTCTTTTAGAACTTTTATAAATGTTTCATTTTTCTGTCTCACAACCTCATTCAGCATAATTTTGTGTGAAATCACATTTGAGAATAAATCACTTTCAAAGCGTATTTCCCCTTCTCATTATACTGGTTTTGGGTACGGTGGAAGCGGGGTGAAATCAACTAAGAACCAGCTTTTATACCCCCAAAAATAAAATTTTTTCTTTTTTTATAGAAAAATTTCACTAGGCTGTAAAACACCTTTTTACTTAAATTTTAAACTCATCAATGATGAGAATTCTGTATTTCTAAGTTATTAACCATTTTCATTTTTTAACTTGTTTAGAATAACTGTTTTTATTTCAGACGGAGGATACCGACCATCTTCTATCCCTGACCAGCGATGCAATGTGTTTGCCTTTAGTGTCATATCCGTATATACAGAGCAGGCGATGCCAGTTGTGCATGTCAGCGCTACAATTTTACCCTGATTTTCACATGTTTTAACTATTTCGCTAATGAGGAAGGACTTTCCTGTTCCTGCTGTGATTAAGACATTGTGGCCTGAGAGAACAGCATCTAATGCAGACGACTGATTTTTGTTGAGATTTGCCATATTTTAGTTAAATTTGACGTATTCCGCGAAAAGAAAAACGTTTTATATACGGTACATTGATAATAAGTGAGAATGCCGAATGATAAATGAAAACATTCTACTGGCTTCCGTTAACCACGCTATAGCATCAAGCGAAACGGGGAACCACGCACCTGTTGTCGGACGAACACTTCCGGGTCATAATAATTTTGAAGAAAACATCGCCTAGTAGCAGAATATTTATTGAAATACAGGCTCATTAGACCGAGTTTCATTTATCGAGCATAAGAACATTAAAAAGTAAGTAGCATCCAGTTGTTTGCATGTGTGTTAGACCCTGTTGGTCTCTTTATTTATGCATTTCAAGCGAAAATGCAAGTTACAACGCACATGTCATGGCGGTATCATCTTTCGGACCTGGGTGATTTCTTACTTTCGGGCTTTATAACATTAACTAGCGGTTAATTGGGGATCTGTAAATAGTAAAATGTAATAGAAAAATATATTGTGCATTGATTCCATGCAAAAATCGGACGATATTACCGCCCGATAAAAATTTTAACACAGATAACCGGCGTACCCATAATTTTCGTACCTGAATGTTGCATACCTTGTCTATAATAATATAACAGTGAAAAAAAAAATTTTTTTTTTAATTTTTTTTTTAATATATTGATATTTTATTGTATAAATAAGTCAAACACATTTTAGGTCTTTTTTTTTTTTTTTTTTTTTTAACAAGGTCAAACACATTTAATTAGGTCAAATCAATGCCACTAGCACCTGTGCCAGCTACCTCCTCTGTATTGGTTTTCCAGAGGTTAAAATTAGAAACCGCATCGGTTTCGAAATAATGAAAAATCGCCAATGATTGGTTGTTTGAAAGACAACGAAAAGGTGACTATGTTAGATCCTAATTAATGCGTAGCGTAATTTAGGAGCTGATTTTATTTAGATTGTGGATAATCACAACCTTTCAAGCTTTATTTTGCCAAATTCTACCAAAATGGCAGAGTCTACAAACAAGTCAGATTATAACAGCATTTCATCCTTTACTACCAAGGCCGTACTACAACAAAACGCGATTCTTAACTAACACGACAGGTAATAGCAGCATTTCATCCTTAACTATAATGATAAAATGCCGTGTCAACATGTCAGATAATGACACCCGGCCGTACTGTTACATGTCAGATGAAATAAGTACCCCTTACCCTACTTTCAGCACGCCTTACTTATCAACACGCCAGGTTATGACAGCAGGCCATACCGTAACAACACAGCCTATTTATATGACAGCAGGACACACGCGACCAACACGCCAAATGATCAGTCAAATACGAAACCTTATCATTTCAACTCAGAATGGGATAACAGTATGCTACACTCTACTTAATTACACGCTAAATATCTATAACAATACATAACTTTAAATTGTATTCATTCAGTCTCTGTGACTAAAATTTCTCTTACATGGCTATATATATTATAGCCAGTTACAGAATTATGACAATTTAACACAAAATTCAATACTTTGACCTTGACAGACAGTCATTTAAAGGTCAATGTCAGTTCAACCTTTCAAAGGGTCTTGTCCAAAATGTTGTTTTGTCAAAGTATGAAAATAACCCATTTATCAATTACCAAGTTACAGTCAATTGAAGCAAAATTAAAGTGAAAATTCAATAATTTAACCTTCAAGGTCAAGGTCATAAAAGAGCCAATGTCAATTTGAGTTTGATATACATGAAGGTCTTATCCTAAAGAATTTTCTTTTATAATATGAAGTCAATCCATTAAATAATAACCGGTATAGCCAGTTTTAGCAAAAGAATAAAAAAAATCAATAACTTGACATTGAGAGTCAAAAAAATTACGAGTGAAGGTCAAGGTCATTTTTTATTACTTTAAAGCCAAGGGCTATCCTAAAAGATTATTTTGCAGACAATCCATTCAAAAATAACAAAGTTATAGCAACTAATAGCAAAAGAAAATTAAAATTTTGACATCTGACCTTGAATGTTAAGGTCATTTATGGATGAAGGTCAAGGTTAGTCTGGTCTAGTGTAAGGTCTTGTCCCAAGGGTTGATGTGTCCAAGTATGAAGACAATACATCAAGAACTTAAAAAGTTATGATCAAGGTACACGATTGCGGACAGCAACGCCGTCATGATTTAACATTATCTTGATTTTTTTATTGATTGTTTTTTTCATAAACAAAGTCGAGCTAATAAGACACACGAGCGTCTTGTTATAATTATATGTATATGGATCGACACGTCCAATATAATTAAGTATTGTATTCCTCATTTTTTCGGGCATTTCACCACTTTTCTTCCAATGTAAATGTTTTATATAGAGGGCGTTCGTTGCCAATATTCCAGACATGTAAAGTGTTCTTTTTAAAAATACTTTTGATAATGCAAACTTGTATGTCTACTATTTTTTTTTGTATCCGTGCATAACACGTAATGTGCCTCTCAATCCAATCTTTTCAATTGAAGGTTTCCGCCGTTATATAACACGTTAACATATAGATCTTAACAACTTACCTAATACGGAAAACAACAACAAATTTACAAGTTCGTATCTTTCATTGCATACAATACATATGCAAGTTTGCACACTTATAGATAACTATATGTACCTGAAATATACAAATGAAATGAAAAACTCGAATACAGAAAAAAAACGTGCGAGTACGTTTACACAGTAACATGTTTAACATGACAAAAGTAGATTCACAAAGTTAAACGATTTTAAGTCATGCATGACGCCCCGCCCCTCTCTGAGTATTTACGAACTTCTATTGCGGACAGGTATAAAACCCGGCGCATCTCTCCTATTTCTAATAAAACTGAAGGAAAACACCCCGTTTCTTCCTAACATATTTTTGTTGCATTTGTTACAAAAGTTTATCACTTGCTTAATCAATTGAAATTGCTGATTTTACCATTTATCTAATACAAAATGATTAAGATAACGTATGCACTAACTTATTATTTTACCTCGTATTTTCCTGAGATAAATAAAAAAAATGTTAAAGGGGACACCGTGTTTTCATTTGCTTTATTGAGAAATAGGGGAGAGGAGCCGGGTTTTATACCTGTCCGTACATTTCCGTAACAGAAGTTCGTAAATACTGAGAGAGGGGCGGGGCGTCATGCATGACTTAAAATCGTTTAACTTTGTGAATCTACTTTTGTCATATTAAACATGTTACGGTGTAAACGTACTCTTGTAGTTCTAAAAATGGAAACACGTTTTTTTAAACTCTATTTTCTGTATTCGAGTTCTACATTTCATTTGTATATTTCAGGTACAGATAAGAATCTATAAGTGTGCAAAATTTCTTATGTATTATATACGAACTTGTAAATGTGTTTTTTTTTCCATGTTAAGTCAGTTGTTAAAATCTATATGTCAACTTGTTATCTAAAAGCGGGTGCCTTCAATTAAAAGATTGAATTAAAAGGCTATTATTTGCAGTGCACGAATACAATCCAAAATGCTAAACATACACGTTTGCATTATCAAAAGTAGTTTTCAAAAGGAACACTTTACATGTCTGGAATTTTGGCAACAAACGCCCTCCATAGTTTTAAGAGTTGCCATTGGACTGAATGTGTATATTTAACGAATATATTTAACGAAAGTGTTTGATATAGCAGATGTACATGTTCTTGTAATAAACAGTTTTAATTATGAGAAAGACACTAATTTGTCCAGTGATTTACGATGAACAAACACATTTGTTAATAAAAACAATTTGTGAACTTTGTTAAAAACTTTAAATCACTTGATTCGAGAATGTTCAAACTTATCATGATTATGATATCTATATGTGAGTCACCATTAAAGGCTTACTTTCTATTGTCATATCATTGTCATAGAACTTTATACGTTTCTTTGACAAAATTTATACCTTTTAGAAATTAAGATATCCATTGAATATCTAAAGATGACACCCACCTCATTAAATTTAGATAAAGGTAATGCATACTACTTCCTATTTTGCTGCAAACCATCCATTTACATGTAATTTGTTTCGGCAGACCGATAGCATAATTACTTTATGTTTTCTAGAACTGCGAGGAATAATGTATACATGAAGAAATCATGCTTAAATATTAAATTCAAAGCCTATTTTATCATGTAAGTAAATGCTCTACATCAAGTATGTTTTCAGTCATTCCAATGAAATGGAAAAAAACAACAATCAAACAAACCCAAAAACCCAAACAAACACAAAAAAACACAAGAAACGGAGGTAAGAAAAATATCTCTTGAACTGAAATACACTCTAAACCACCGTTATATAACCAAATGTGTGTGCAAATGATACGCGTACTATGCTTCATTATGATTTACACACTTAGTGACTAATAAAATACGCTTAAACCACAGGAACTCGAGAACGGGACCGCAGATTGCGGCGTATATTTTCGATCTTGTAACGGTTTTTAAATACGTTTCTGTTACATCTAAATATCTTTTAGTATTATCCGAGTGTATGGACTCAAAAAATATATTATCAATTGAACCCAATCTGTCTCTTTTAAAATTGGTCAAATTTTACGGTATTATAAAAAAAGACAAGGAGTGACATCCGCCATTTGCCACAACGTTTTCGGCATGAGTTTTTCCCCTTTGGCTACAATTGATTACTATTTTTTCAGAATTTTGTTCCCGTTATTTTTGTCAACTATCAGGTATCGTCCGGATATAACGTTAACGGTTTATTGTTTGTACACGTGTTGACATGTATAGGCGGCATTATAACGGGCGTATTCGTGTATTGATTTGTTAAAATGGAGAAAACAGACACTTTAGTAATATGGTCCAACTGATTTTGTCTAACTGAAAAAAGGAATATTTAAACATGATCCATAGATAAATATTTTAGGCACTAATCTCGTATTCATTACTAGAAAAATTAAAACAAAAATCAAGCATATCAAGGGGGGTAACTTACGCCGAACGTTGCGGCAAATGGCGTATGTCACTCCTTTTCTTTTTT